TCTCCTCTCCTCTCTTTTTTTTTTTCTTTTCCTGTTTTGGTGCCCGTTTCGTTTCTCAAACCCTTTTCCACCTTTAAAACGGCGCCTTTTGCCACTGAGTCCCCCGCGCGCCGTCGCTGAGCGCTGCGCGGTGCCCGCAGGCGCATGTTCCCCTCGGTGCGGGTGCGGGTCAAGGGGCTGGAGCCGCGCAGCCAGTACAGCCTCGCCATCGACGTGGTGCCCGTGGACTCCAAAAGATACAGGTAGGGGCCGGGGGCCACCGCAGCCCCCCCGAGCAGCCCGTCGCACCGCGGAGCCTGCGCGGGTTCACGGGGAGCCGCGTGCGGGTCCGCGATTGCTGCCCGGCTGCACCGTGCACGTGCATGAAAATACAGCTCGCATTTCTATATATCCGCATCTGCAGTATGTATAGATATTATACAGAAGGTGTGTGTCTATGTAGCTGCACCTGAGAGAAGAATAAATAAAATACAGCACATGTTTGTATAATGCATGGGAAAAGTATATATCGTATGCAGATGTATATAATGCATGAGAGGAAATGTGCAAATTACAGAACGCAGATGTGTTTATATAGCTGCATCTGATATATACGCATAACAAACACAGAAGGCATATGCACGTGTAGCGCACAAGGTRCATATGCATGAAAGCAGGATGCATAGGTGCACCTGGTAGGGTCGTGTATGTGTCCATAGGCACAAGCTGGACCCGGCAGCTCCGTGGTGCAGGGGCTGCGCGGGGCCCCGGGAAGCTGCGCGGGGCTGCGCGGGGCTGCACGGGCTCCGTGGGGCTCCGCGGGCTCCGTGGGGCTGCGGGGGCTCCGTGGGGCTCTATGGAGCTCCGCGGGCTCCGTGGGGCTGCGCGGGCCGCTGCAGCGCGGCCGGCGCCGCAGGTACGTGTACCACAGCTCGCAGTGGATGGTGGCGGGCAACACGGAGCACGCGGGCCCCGCGCCGCGCCTCTACGTGCACCCCGACTCGCCGTGCTCGGGGGAGACGTGGATGCGCCAGGTCATCAGCTTCGACCGCGTCAAGCTCACCAACAACGACATGGACGACAAGGGACACGTAGGTGGCGGGCGCGATGCGGGGTGGGGGGGCCGGGGCAGCCGTCGGGGCTGGGGCCCAGGCCCGGCGACCATCGGAACCGGAGCCGGGGTAGGGGCTAGAGCCGGTACCGGGCCAGGGTGCCCTGGGGTCGGGGTCTATCCCGGTTCCGTGCGACCGTCGCAGCCGGGCCGGGCCGGGGCGGCTGTCGGGAACGGTATCGGGGCCGCGCCGGTTGAGCTGTGGGTGCTGGTGACGGGATCGGACCGGGGCGGCCGTCGGAGCCGGAACCGGAGCCGGTGCCGGGCGGGGCGGCGTTCACGGCCCCGCGCCGCGCAGATCATCCTGCAGTCCATGCACAAGTACCGGCCCCGCGTGCACGTTATCGCCCGCGACGGGCGGCCCGACGGGGCGCCGCTGCGGGCGCTGCCGCCCGCCGGCGTTCGCACCTTCTCCTTCGGCGAGACCGAGTTCACCACGGTGACCGCCTACCAAAACCAGCAGGTACCGCGCGGCCCCGCGCAGCGCCGCGCGGCTCCCTCCGACCCGCGCCCTTCCCACTGCCGCTTCCCACCCCTTCTTTTCCAGATCACCAAGCTGAAAATCGACAGAAACCCCTTCGCCAAGGGCTTCCGCGACCCCGGCCGCAACAGGTAACGGCGGCGGCTCCGCGCGGCCCTTGCGCGGCCGCGGAGCCGCCCGCTCCCCCAGGGCGCTCTCGCTCCGCAGGGGCGTTTTGGACGGGCTGCTGGAGACGCTGCCCTGGAGACCCCCCCTCGCCCTCGACTTCCAGCCCTTCGGCGCCGAGAGCCCGGGTAGGGAGAGCCGGGGGATGCGGCGTGAGCGCGGCGCGGGGCAAAGAGCGGCCGCTGTCCCGGGCTGGGGCTGCGGCCGGCGGTAAAAGCAGCCGGGAGGCGGAATGGAGAGGGGAGGTTGGGAAAGAAAAAGGAAGAAAAATAGGTAAAAACCTGGCTTAAAAATCGCGCCGGGAGCAGCGCTGCGGGGAGGGCTCGGTGGAGGTTTGTGGGGGGTTTTTTAGGGGACCCGAAAGCTGCGTTCGGGGCAGGCCTGGACCCCTCGCACTCACGTTTCATCTCCGTCCGCGCGGCGGCAAACGCCGCTTTCCAGCGTCCCCTCCGGAGCGACACGCAGCAAAAAGACACGTCCCGTCGGGGATGCGGCAGCCCGTCTGGCTGCACAGAAACMCAGAAAAGACAGAAAAGCTAATGGAAATTCCTCCCCTCCAATTGATTTGTGCAGATTTTGGAGTGCATTTTTCAGAAAATATATGTATATCTTACCTCCAAACTGCTTGAGAGGTAGAGAGAAAATGTCATGGCACATTTGTGCACTGCAGAGCTATYGTTTAAAGCTGCCGGTCCAGCTCTCATGTGCATTAGGATCTTTTCAAAGGCATTTCTATTGGGATATCCATATTTTCTTCCTGGAAAATATTGCTCGTTTTAGGCTGTACAAGAATAGAAATAAAAAGGGGTAAAATTGGACCCGTAACGATATGAGAGAAATACAGGGATTTATGGGTTGCAAAGGTAGCTACATTTTTTCAGTAGAGGTCTCATGTAAAATGCTACTTTTGAACCCGTTTGGAGGCTGCAAGGTGGGGGTGAGGGACAGACGTACATGGTGCAGGACCGACAGATGCAGCTTCCAAAACACCGGCCGTTTTGAGGGATTTTTTGCTGGGCTTCACCGAGCTGCTATTTTTCTTAAGGGTCAATTTCCTGAAATAATATAAATACAAGGAAGTCTCCATTCCCACTAAAAATGGAACAGTGTTTCTGGAGAAAAGCTGAGAGGCAGAAATGCTGCAGCTCCCTAACTGGAGACTAAATTACAACAAAGCGACAGCAATCTGCTGAATGATGGAGACAAACTCAGCAACACGCTTAGGGTTTTTAAATCTAATAACAATACCAGGAATTATTCTTTTCCTCAGATATTTCTAGCCTTCCTATATAAAATAATTCTATTTTATATTTCTGCTATTGCTATTTGCGCTCCACTGTCTTCCCTGCCATGAYCCCAATTTCCTAGCTGGAAATGGGGGATATTCCTGCTGAAAACTCTGTGGATGGGACATGCACGTAGGCGGCTGCAGGGGAATTGCCTCCCTGCCCTGCACTTGCAAATTCTGCCTTGATCTCCTCGCTTTGCAGCACCAAAAAGTACTGTAATGCCAGCGGGAATCTGGGATGTGATTTAGGGTGCAGCAGGATCCTCCCAATGCTCCCATTAAAACAGCTGCCGGCATCAGTGAGGAAGGGATGAGACTGAAAAATCTGTGAAACTCCCCAGCATTACTGCAAATAGGTACTGCAAACACTGCAAAAAGCTGCTGCCGCTTTCCCGCACCCGTGGGATGGACGGACGGATTGCTGCGGGCTCGTGAGCAAAACTAACTTGCCCTCTGGCCAAAACTGTCCTACGGTTTAGGTCGGATGCACTCACGAATCCAAGTCTGTTGCTCCGACCGATTCTATACAGCTTATAAAATCGGAGTGGATTGCACTCAAACAGTACTGCACTTTGTATTAAGGGTGAATACAGAAAAACCCAGAACGAAACTAAATTCGCTTCCCCCTCCTTACTTTTCCCAAAGACATGGACAAAAAAAGGTGTAAAAAAAAAAAGAAACYTTGGAAATAAGATGAAAACCCTCTAAAAGAATGAGTGAATAAATGTGAGTCGGGGGCATGTGTCCCTTTAACGGAGCTGGATTAAAATCGCATCTGTTTGGCRTGAGGGACGGGGACTGCAGGGCACCCTTCCCGTGCCGGAGCAGCCGCCGCGCTCCRCGGAGCCGGGAAGCGGCTCCGAGCAGCCTCGGGAGCCTCAAATTAGCTGCTTTCCTCCCACATTGAGAGAGGCTGCGTTGATTCACTTAAGGAAAGAGACTGTTCCAGTGATGTCCGCATTGAAACCTCCTCAGACGTCTCTAGCCCTCGGTGCCTGTTTCGCATAGGAAGGTGCATAAAGTTTCCCGTTGGGCTGAATACATGTTTTTGTTCTTATATACAAGGGGAAAAAGCTGCCAGTAATGTGCAAGAAAAATAAGGAAGTTCAAATACCGGCGGTGRGTGTATAACAGGAGAAGGCTTTAGCCGGGCAGGACCCGGTCTGTGCGGACCCCAACCTTGTCGTTGTCCCGGAGAAGCTAATGGGATTAGACGTGTGGGGAATTTTCTTCTTAGACGAGTGCCAAGTAACACATTCATACATTATGGACGGCTCTTCCTTTTTCCGGGATTTGTGCTGGGATGGTCAGGATCCCAGCTGCGAGTGCCCTGACGGGCTCTTGCTTGTGGCCATCGTCTTGATGATTTCCCTTCTTCCTAGGTGGCAGCTCCAGCGCTTCGCCTGCGGGCTCCAGCAGCGGGACGCCGTCGCCGCTGRGCTCCCTGCTGCCTCCGTCCTGCTCCCCTCCCGCGTTCCTCGTGCCGCCTCCCGACGCCCTCCTGCACGGCCTCGGCCTGCCCCTCTGCTACAAGCTCTGCCCCACGAGCTTCCTGAGACCTCAGCCTCTCGTGCTCCCCGGCCCCGAGAAACTGGGAGGCGCCAGCCCGCCCGTTTTGCCCCACTTCGTGGTGGACCTGCCCAAACTCTCTGCCCTCGGCATAACAAGCCTGAAGAACGGGAAAAACGAAGACCTGAACGGGCAGTGCCTACAAGCCGCCGGTTCCGATAGCCAAGTGCTGTACGGATTACAGGCATCTGGAAACGTTTTCCCATCAAGTCCCATTGCTCGGGAAGCACTTAATTGTTCTTTACATCCTCCATATGGCTTGTACGGTTATAACTTCTCGGTGCCCAGCAGGCTGATGAGCGCAGCGAGCCCCGTCAAGGTGAGCGACGGCATTCCCGCGCTCCTCCGAGAYGGCCGGTGTAATCCCTCCAGCTGGCACCCCACGATTAACCACTGCCTTTAACGGGCCTACGTACCATTGCCGAGCGTTGGCTGGTAAAGCAAGCCCTTCATTCATAACTGAGAGCCTGCCAATTACTGACTCTAAAACACTTCAGGACTCGGGATTGACCTCTCCAGGCATTAAACTCTTCTTGTGGGCAAGCTCGCAAGTGTGGTTGGAAGCGTGAAGGACCTGAGGTSACCAACAGCAAAGTGATATCTTTGGCAGCCACTTATTTAAGTAACTGTGGAGGGTTAAGTGCAACCTGTACGGCCACCTTCATAGTATTTGCACTCTGAGTGGGATCACAGAAGTATCCATCTCCACAGGTATTTTTCCCGAAAGTCTCTCTCTGGCTTTCCCTTAGTTGGCCGCAGTCCTGGCGTGCAGGCTCCAACTGCCTGATCCATCCAAATGATTTTAACGAGACTGTTGGACACCTCGAGCTGGCCAAGGAAGCGCGTTTGGCCAAGCGCTTGAGCACGTTCTCGAGTTCCCTGGACTTTAATGGGTCCTCATTAAAAGCCTGAAAGCGCCTGGCTGCCCCAGCACACAGACGGCTCAGTCATCAGAGCGGGGCTGTAAATTCAAGGACCTGATGCTGAAGTAAAGAAAGCTGGGCTAAAAGAGCACGGAGCCCCATGCAAGGATGCCCAAGGAGCCCTCCGATTCCTGCGCTTCCATGACGCAGCACAAAGAAGCCCCAGGAGAGTCATCGGGATGGGACCATCACACTGTGACCTGCATTGGGGGTGTCTCCTGCTCAGCGCTGCCACCCAGGGTCACATCCACGTTCAGCCCCACGGATGGAGCGGGGAGACTGCACCTCTGACACTCGGGATCTTAAATCCCTCCCCAAAGCTCTCTTACTCTTATTATAACCCATGGATATCCTTGTTATTCCTGTAAATAACCTCTAGCTCCCAAAGGCACAATATAACCAGCAATAAAGTGGGATGCAGATTTTATTCTTTATGTGACCAGTGGTCAGTCCCTACCTGAAGCCAGCTTCATTACTTGACACAGGACAGAGATTGCAAATAATGTTCAGCTGGCAACGGTTGCATTTTGGGGTCAGGAGAAGAGAATCCCTTATTTGGAAACATAAAATATCACAAGAGAGGGAATAATTGTAGGTATAGGAAATAGGAAATATTTGTTGGAGCTCTGGTTTTGCTTTCATCCACAACAGCCAACAGACTAAGGACAAAAAATAGCGGTATCGAAAGCTGTTAAAATAACACAAGYCACACTTTGGTTTCCGTGAGGCTTTGCTAAGGATCAGCCAGAGGTGCTTTCCCCGGCTCCCGCGGGACAGCAGCCCAGGACAGGGGCAGCCGGCGCCTCGTTACGCAGCGCACAGCTGCGCAAATGAACAAACCTGCTCTCCCCTCTTACTTCTTAGCCATTTATCATCTCTCTATTTTTATTAAAAAATGAATATATATWTTTTTTTCATTTGGGAATGCTTATTTCCAAGCCACCATCCATCACTTGAGGTGGGCTGGATCCCCTAGGCGATCCCGGTGCAGATGCTGGGGTGGACTTTGCCTGTGGGAGCAGATCTCACGTGGGTGCCCAAGGATCTGGTCCACTCAAGGCTGCTTTGAGGGGCTCCTGCTGAGCAGCCTCTGTGGGGGTGGATGCAGCAGGTGACCCCCAGTTTTCCAAAAAGGGACAGCTGCATAAAATTATCCCAAGCTAGTGGCCAGGGTTGAGTTATCCAACAAATCTGTGTTCGTCAGGTTAAAACTGTGACCAAAAATGATCTTCAGTACAGATGATTTTATGATGATCATGATGAATCTCATTTAGATTTAAATCTAAGAAATTCCATCTGCTGAGGCTGAAGAAATTCTTTATTTGACAGAACTCACTCATTTTGGTTCAGGGTTGCAAACAAAATGGGTATTTTCCAAATCTGTTTTCCCTGTGGCTTTCCGTATGAAGCTGGAAATCCAACATTTAAGCAACCCCATCACACTGTGACTGCTCAGAGAACCCCAGAGAACYTGGTAGGGTGTCTCTGTCCATTGGCAAGGAGGAAAAGGGAGCAGAGACCCTGCACYCTGAGCATGCATTTGCTGAGCTTGTTTTGCTTGGTCCTCCCAGCTCGGGTGAGTTGTCCTTTGAGGTGACGAAGCTGCTGGCTGTCTCGTGGCAATCGAAGGCTGTTCCTGCTGAATTCAGCAGTTCTGTTAAGTGATGTCAGTCTTGGAGGAGCCAAACTTTGGTCGCAGTGTCCTGGAAAAGGCGCTTGGGGCTTGGCTGCGATGCGGCCACGCAATGGGATGAGCCTCTCTAGTCCTGGCTTTGAGCATCGAGTCCCACAAAATTTAATATTCAGGCCTAAGAGGAGTGTGGATTACAGAGAAGTATAAAAGCAACTTTGCGTGTGAGAGAAGCATTATATGAGTCACTGTATGTTRAATATGGATTGCTTGCATTTACCCTAGTTTCATTATTTTTTATTGGCTTTCCTTTGCAAAATATTTTGGTAGTTCTTAATGGGAGAGAAAAATAGTCTTAGTTTGTCCCAGCTCTCTGTCCTGCTCTCTGCGTTGCCCCATTAGACCAGGCCAGAGCTGCCCAACGTCACGACACGCCGCCCTGGTCTAGCGGGATGCAGGAGAAGGAAGCCTGAGGAGATGTCTCCACACCTCAGAGGTGCCCAGACAGGGCTCCATTGATCATCCCTCACAAAAACATAAAACCATCAGGCTCATGAAGACAGAAAACCTGCGTAGGATCCATCCACAAGACCTCGGTATTTCCAGAAAAGGTTTAAATGTGAGGTGTGATTTTCCCCATTCTGGTTGCTGCCTCCAGAGCTCTAGTTGAGGTGGGAATATTCCTGGTTTAGGTTGGCAGAGAAGGAAGCAGAGCCTTCCTTGCCAGCATGCAGAGCTCATAGCCCAAACCCACTCCAGTCTTTWTTATTATTATTATTATTGTTATTATTTAGTGTTCTCAGCTCAAAATGCTTCTTTTTAGACACCTGAATCTGAGGAGGAGATTAACAACTGCTGCCTTTGGACTTCTCCCACCATCACACCTTGCTCCACGCATGTTCCTGCCATCAAGCAGAACGCGACCGAGTCTTTAGACCTYGGGCTCGCATTTCACAAGCTGTTCAGGAGCTGTCGGGTGAATGAGGAGGCTGTTTTGGCAAATGGGAAAAGTCTTTGACAAATAAGAGCTTTCAATAGTCGCAGCGGTAATTTGGCCGAGTTTCTAGTACTATGATAGAGATGGTTCTGCTTATAAGAGGCAGATTGGGTCCAAAATAATTGATAACTTGCAGGTTACCTTCTAGGGATGCTTTGAAGAACTGCTCCTAGCGGGAAGCGAGCGTGGAGCCCAGGCAGGGGAGCCACCACCCCCGCAGAGGAATACATCGTTACTGAGAAAATACGAGGCTGGAGAAAAGGAGCTAAACATTTCAAGAAGGCCCACGTAGTTATAAAGTAAAAGCACATCTTACACTGCTTTGCAGTTCCTCTTGCAAAGATTACTTGGGAACCTCTGACAACTGCTCAAATCCTCAGTTTTCTAGATTTCATGAAGTGTAAAATCAATGTTATTGTGCTTTTTAAAGGGGAATAGTGAGAAAATAACCCCAAATTGCCTAAAAGCTTAAGCTTACTCAACAGTCGGGACTATCTGGCCGTTGCAGGGAGAAGTCTGGYGTTACTCAGAAACACCCTCCTGCCTTTGCAGCACCCGGCAAAGGGCACCGTGTTGCGCTCCGCACCGCGACGTGGGCCAGGCTCCGTGCTGGGAAATCACGAGGCTGATCTGAAACCCAAGGAGACAAAAAAAAACCCTAAACAGTGCTTTTAATCAAAGTGCTGCTTGCTATCCAATTTCCCCCCACCGCAATACATCCATCAGGGAAGCCTGAAGTTGGCTGAGCGCAGAGGTTGTAGCTGTTCTTATAGAAGGGCCCTGCTCTACATTTGATCTTCTGAGGTTTGCGCTGTAATTAGATGATAATTTGTATCACAATTATGCAAAACAAGGCAGGACTGGAGAGCAACGCGGAACAGAACAAACAAGCGCGCGGAGCAGCTGAAGGGGATCCAGGCTGGAAAGGACTCGCCGGCGCGGCCGCGCTGCCCATGCTGTTCCAATAAAGGCAGAGACGAGGGAAAGGCCAGTATCAGTTCCTACAAACGTTTCAAATGTTCATGTTTACAAATTTGTATTGCACATTAATATGTAAACATATACTATTGGAAACAGATGACTGCGCCGTATTGACGTGTTCTTTCCTCTTTGGTGCGAGCCGTTGGTCTCTGGGAATACACATGATGTGCAGAGAATCTTTTAAAATACGGATGGAAAACTAAACAAAGGACCAAGCATTGCAATGAATAGTTTTAAAATTGCTCTGTATAATTGCTGTGCATTTACTGAAAGACATAGCACTTTTTTTTTTTTTTTTCCCAATTTCCAACCACTCCATATCAGCCTGAGGATGGGAAAGACGTGGCAGTATTTTCATTTTCATGAAGCAGGAAAAATCATCAAAATACACATTTAACATATTAACCTAGGAAATAACATTGTGCAAATACACCGTAAATGTCATGAAAGAAAAGCAGGGTGACCAGTGGGTCGTTCCCCCTTGGGTTGGTGACGACATTGCCTTGGACATGTCCCCTGGGTGCCACACTGTGATTTCTGCACCTCTCTGAACTGTTTCTTGGTGGTGTGAGAACCTAAGCCAGCCCTTGGTGGTGTGAGAACCTAAGCCAGCCCTTGGTTTGTATTTCAGGATTCAAGCTCGGAGTGCCCCATTCCAGCTCACCTGGGCAGATCCTGGAGCCGCTGGGGTTGAACCGGGTGCAGGTCAGTCCGGATGCAGCTCCTCAAGATGCTGGGAATTAGAGTGGCTGGGAGGATTTCTGCAGATGTTGGGTATTCACTGCAAGCTTGTCAGGCTTAGCAGAGCTTCAATCTCACCAYGCTTGAGTAGTTTCTGAATTTTATACCTATTTATAAATCCACTTCTCCACTGGCTCCCTTGGCGACATTCTCAGATAGGACCTGGCATCTACTTCCAYGCACTGAACACTTTCCTTCCAGGTGAAGTTGATTGCTTACTCTAAAACACTAAGGATGCTTATTGTAGCAGGTTAATAAAATAAGTAGTCCAAGCTTTGTGAAGGATCCTTTAAGCCTATCAATCAATCAGCCAGTAATTCCAAGACCTTTCTGGAGGGGAAAACACCCATGGTAGCAAAGACCCTCTCCCCCGCCTAAAAGAGGTAGGTCCTGAACAAAACCAGAGATAGGGACRGGGGTTCAGGACAGTTTCTAGCTTGCTGAAGCCTGAAGATCTACAAGAAACACTAAAATGGCCTTCAGACATTTTCTGCTGCTTGAAAAACCCTGCTCTTTCAGATTTCAAGAGAACAATTTTTTGGAAAAACTCACCTTTTTCCTTCTTGGCGCTCATTCCAGCTCTCCTCTCAGAGCAGGGTCCCAGTTTCAACAATTTCCTCCAGGCCTTACCCAGCAGCTGGGAGCACTTAACAGCTAATCAGCCCAATTCAGCTCACCTGTGTGAGTGATCTTGGACAGGTCCATCTGCTTTGAGTCAGGCCTGCAAATAAAACAGGGCCTCCGCTCCAAAAGCAAGGGAAGAGTAATGGACTCGTGTGGTTCCTGGAAGCTGTTCTTGCTATTGCTCAGCGGTGCTCCAGGGACCATCCTTTGTCTCCTGCTCTGGCCATCGGTCCACTCAAGAGTGGCTCCACGTAGCTATGTGTGGAGCCAGCAAGGCCCAGCAAACCCTCTTCCTTCCCCAGGATGATGGAGGTTGCTCAGAAGAAGGCACACACTGCTGTTTCAYCCACCAAGAAGGCTTCAAATACCACCAAAAGGTGGCAAAATTAAATATCAATAAACACAAATATCAATACTCAGGGCAAGGATCACTCTACCCATTTGGTCCCAACAGACGCCACTCTGCTTCTATCCTAACCCCAAACCCCTCATTGCTCTGGCCATCATCTTCTATTATAGGTTTCTTTAGAGTCCTTTGAGCTTCTGCCTTTGACACAACGTTAAATACAGTGGAGCAAAACATGGTGTAGGTTTCAGGCAGTTTGGTAAACGTGAGGGTGGGATTGTATTTCGCGGATGTTTTCAATAGAAGGACAAAATGGAACAAGGCGGGCGGCTGGACTGATCCATCCTCAGCCCACGTCACCAAGCCTTTTGTAAGAGGGTGGCTTTAAACTTTAAAAAGAAAAGGTACAAATCATTGATAGGTACAAATAAAGGTGAAGGCAKCCTTAGGAAATCCAGGATTCAGCACAATTCTCTCAACTAAGAAGCAGCTGCAAATCGTGGTCCTGGCCATGGGTTCCCTCTGCCTCTGGGGCTGGGACTCCTGCAGACCAGGCGCCCCGGCCGGGCTCCCACCTCACACCAGCTTTTGAGGTGGTTTTTGGCAAACATCACAGATTGAGTAGGATATTCCAAGTTATGAATTTGCCAATAAACTTTTAATGGTGTTAAACCTGAGAAGTAAGCTTCCAAAACCAGAACATGGAGGAGAGAGGGCCAGAGGCCAAGGACGCTGCTGTGTCCATCAAAACCATGGGGACTGTCTGAAGGCAAAACCCACATCCAGGCTCAAAGCACCTTGGGGTCGCCCCCCCTATCCTGGTGGGGTTTTAGCTTTTGGGGGCTGGAATCAGGAGCTGGTCTTCATGGGGAAAGCCTTTTTATACCAGTTTTACCTTATGAACATTTCACCAGGAAGCTAAAGGCAGAAGCGTGAGCCCCAAATGCAACTGCTTGAGCAGAACAGGTTTTATTCAGGTCCACACAAATATCTTCATTTCTACCGTCCTCTGGGGAATCCTAATGTGAGGCTTTATTAAAGCTTTATTAATGCTGAAGAGGACAACCAAGGGTCTTAAAAATATTGATTACCAATAAATTTGCTGCCACTGAATAAAAGTCTTTATGAACATTCAGCTATCCAGTCCAGAACACACAGTTACAGCTCAAATTTCCTCCACTTTTCTCTCCTCTCCATTTAGTGACAACGATTTTAGCTTTGGCCATTTACTGAATTCTTATTTTATCTTCATTAAAAGCCTYACCTTAAAATTAATTGAAGTTGATAAGCTATTTCCTGTATCGTATTTCTTCTAACRTTATCAATATTGCTAATAAAAATAKAGATTGAAACAATATGTTGCAATGTCACGGATATAAGCCAGATTCTGCTGCAACTCAACTCAATGTGAATTCCGCCTTTGGCTTTCATAAAACCAGAATAACGGCTCTATCTGGGCTGTTCTAACTGATAACATCGACCCCTTTTCCCTAAATTCTCAATACTACCAGAATTTAAGTGAGCAGTAGACTGGTAGAGCAAATAGAATTATATTTCCTGAAGATTTTCCAGATTAAAACAAAATAAAGGCAAGCCCCCAAACTTCATTTCAAACTCAAAKGAAAGCCACGAAAGCCAACGTTTCAAAGCCTCTTTTGTTTGGCAAACGCTGTCATTTTTCATAGTCTTCTGATGTGTGCATTTGCTAGAAGAGACTTGCAATTTTTAAAACTTTGAACAAAAGGGATTTCCAAAGCAGGAAGGGGAAAACCTCGCTTGGACAAAGGCAAACTGGAGCATTTAGGCACTTCTGCTCTTCTTCCTTCCCGTTCTACACTCACATTTTCTGAAATGATTGTTTGGAGGTTTATTCTCAGCACCTTGCTGAGACAGCCGCTGCAGGCAGCTCCCAACTGAAGCTCCCCTGTGATAAAAATATAGCTTATTTCAAAACCATCTCTGAATATGGCTCAGGCAGCTGGAGCCATGGCCCATAAAGAGAAGGAATTTCACTGGAGAGATGTGCTGGCCGCAGAACAGAGCGGGGAGCTGGGATGAGACCCAGGCAGATGGGGCTCTGTTCTTCTCCGAGGAGCGGCTGATGCCTCTGGCTGCCTTGCATGGGAGTGAGTGGCAAAGCGGCTCCCGCTGCAAAAAGCCACTTCCCAYTGAACGGCCCGGGTAAAGGAAGGTGCAAATGAGAGCTGACCTGAAAGGACTTCCCCTAAGGGCCTCCTGGCACCAGTTTTGGGCATGTAGCGTTTTCCCTGCGTCTGTATTGGCTAAGCTGCTCTGTCAAGCATCCCCAGGGCGTCTCTGTGTTGCTCCCTCTGCTCTCCCATCACTCGCCRGATCCCAGAACGGGAAAAGCCCTGGTAGCCCATTAGCACATGGACTAAACCCCACAGAGACATTTCTCCTTTGACGGGTGGAATTAGCTCCGAAATAACCACTCTTTCACTAAACACAGGAAGGAAATTTTGAGGATTTGCTTCGCAGCAGGTGAAAACAAGAGCGATTTAAAGATAATTTGTCAGATTAAAATAATAATAATAATAATGAAAACATGCCCAGGCTGGAGCAGAGCAGTTTTGCCCTTTTTATTTCCTGCAATTGTGCTCGCTCCATCTTGATCTCAGTGTCTCGGCTCTGACAGCCCCAGATCCAGCCCTTCAGCCCGGGCTCCCAAAATAGAGCACACCTGCGAGGAGAACGGCTCTCCCCGAGACATTCCTGATCTGGAGCGSATTAAACCGATATTTTTGTTTTGTATTTTCGATGACTCGCTCCAGTGATAACATAATAGCATGATATTTTGCCTGGGACTGATTAAAACGTTTCTTTTGATCAGCGCAGCAGATTGAAGCAGTTGTTTATTACTGGACAAAGCTGCAGAAAAAAAAAGGAAAAAAAAAAAGAAGGGAAAAAAAAGCATCTCCGGGTAGTGGTGGGGGAGTCTGCTTTTTGCCAAGGGTATTTCATGCTCTTTTGAAAAAGGGAAAAGTCCCTGGTCTCGGCTGGGTTTGACATTGCTGCTGGCTCCAGCTCTGCGGGAACTGCAGTGCCTGCACAGGGCTCCAAAAAGCTCCAAAATCTCCAAAGGAAAGAAAAAGACTGTTCTAAAAAAACCAGTTACTTGCCTTTCTTATCTTGTATACATTGAACAAAACTCGTTTCTGAGGCTCAGAAGCTAGAGCTGCCCCAGCCTGTCCCACTAGCCCCTTTCTGGGGGCAGCTTTGGTTCGCTCAGACTACGCAAGTTGTACCTTCCTAAAAAGAGCTCACCTTGTAAGTGATCCAGTTCCTCACATGGTTCAAAGCTACATTTKGTTTTCCAAGGGAACGTCTAAGCTGGGAGAGATCCTCCTTTTCACCACACAAATCAGAGCTGGCATCACTGTGTTGTAGTCTCACAGCACCTGAAAATAAATGCAATATTCTGCTTTGATCGCTGGAACTCGACCAGCTTTTGGGCACGTATATATTTAATTGCACAAATAATTTTTAATAAAAGGRTGTGTTTAGCTGCTGTCGGCAGCTAAAGGGAAAGAAGCAGCAGGTCTGACCCTGCCTTGCCGTGAGCAGCGCGCGGGCAGGCACTGAGAGCAGAGGTTGTGCTTAAAACATTGATGGAACGAAGCAAATTAGGCAGGGTTGTTAACTCGGCAGYGCAGCAGCTCTGCTCCCCGCACGCACCTGACCCGTGTTTTCCTTGAAAGGGGATACGCAGCCCTGGAGTGACAGACGCCAATCCTGGCCGCGCGGAAATGCCGGAGCTGCGTCCGCAAGGGGCCCCACGGGAAAGGCGGAGCTGCAGCCGCCGCTTTGCTCTGGGCATCCCAGCTCTCTCCAGCTCCGGGGTGACGCTCCAGGCATGCAGATCCTGATCCTGCGCCGGGATCGGGAAGCGCCGGAGTGGGGCCGGGCTGCAGCCCGGGTGTGATTTTAACCACATGCTGCTCTTCAGGCTGCTGGAAAGGGCTGGTGGATGCATTAAAAACCTGCCCTTGTTGTCCTGCTCCTTCACTCCCATTTGGCCCCTGTCACCGTGCTGGCCTGCAGGATCCCGTGCCAATAATCAGGATTTAAGAAGCAGTTTCACCTTTAAAAAAATTAAAAAAAAAACCCAATTTTTAGCTTAGAGAGAGTATCAGACGGAGGGCATCGCCAGCAYGCGAAGCGGGACAACGGGCAGAGCTGGGGGCTCTGGAAATCCGCTGACAAACTGGTGGCCCGAAAGGTTAAATGACAGTTCGGCAAACACGTGTCAGGGAAGGCAGCCCCCGCAGCGGGACCTCCTGACCCGCGCGGCATCCAGGGCTGCGCTGAACCGCGGGGCTGCCACCGGCGGCATGTGGCGGGGGGACAGGGCTCTAGCGCCCATGCCGGCACACGCTGCTTGCACCGTTTTGCCCCAAAATCAGTCCCAGAACCTGCTGGTTTCGTGCAAGGAGAGAGCCTCAACACACTGCTCAGAGCTGCACGCAGGGTGGAAGCAGCGAGGAGTTTCCTCGGTGCTCTCTGCTCTCCGTGCCCACCAGCCGGGCTGCACCAGCGAGAGCTGACAGGCTGCTACTGTCCG